CCCCTCAACTCTCTCAAATTCTTAGGTAGAGGCCACTTCGGTATTGCTTAAATTTTGGTTTGATCGGCTGCCACCCCCTCCTGAGACACCACATGCCCCAAGTAATCCACGCTAGTTTATGCGAAGCTACATTTCTTCAGGTTGGTCCTTAGCTGATGCTCCTATAGAACTTCTAAGATCACCCTCAAATGCTCCAAATGCTCCTTCTTAGTCTAGCTATACACAAGTATGTCATAAAAAAAACTAATACAAACTTCCAGAGGTACTCTTTGAACACCCTGTTCATAAGGGACTGGAAAATAATAAGAGCATTAGTAAGGCCAAACGGCATCACCAAGAACTTGAAGTGTCCCTCCTATATCCTGAAGGCCATCTTCTGAATATCCTCCTCCCTCATCCTAATTTGATGGTAACCCGACTTCAAATCCATCTTGAAAAACACCACTGCTCCATACAACTCATCCAGTAGCTCATCGATCATCATAATAGGTAACTTATTCAACATAGTCTCCTTATCCAAGGCGTTGTAGTCCACATAAAACCTCTAGCTCCCATCCTTCTTCTTGACCATTAAGACTGAGTTAAAAAAAGGGCCACACTCGGCCTGATGATTCCTGCCTCTAACATCTCTCGGATCAGCTTCTCAATCTCATCATTCTAAATATGAGGGTAAGGGTATGGCCGTACACTAATCGATGACACCTCTTCCTTCAAATTGATTGCATGCTCCTGCTCTCTGGGTGGTGGCAAGCCTTGAGGCGGATGAAAAACCTCACTGAACTATTGTATGAGTGACTATACTGAAAGAGGGATTTCTCCCTCTTCCCCCAGTCTGACCCCTTCCAAGCTTTGTAATTCCACAAAAAATCCTCCTCCCACCACCTCATGTATGGTCCTGATCATGAATTTCAGAGATACCCCAAACCTAGAAGCCTTGCATCTCCCTGAATCACCATCTTTCTTCCCTCCACCACCATTTCCATCCTCAATGCTCCCAAATTGACCTTGGTATCTCTTAATGTTTGCAACCACTTCATACCCAGGATGACATCAGTGCTCCCCAACTCCAATGGGAGAAAATCCTCCCTTATCTGAACCCCGTGAATAGTCAGTACTACTCCCCTACAGACACCTCTACCCATCTCCACCTTCCTAGTGCCCATCATTACCCCATAACCCCCAGTGTCCACCAATTTCACCCCCAATTGGTCAACAACCTGATTGAAGAAAAAATTATGGGTAGCCCCACTATTGATCAGTACCACGACCTCTCTGTCTGTCTGATATTTTCCCTTCACTTTCATGGTGTGATTCGGGGTGAACCCCACCACTGAGTTCAAGGAAACCTTTGTCATGTTCAGATATAGCTTCACCTTCTCTATCCCACCTCACTCTCACCTCACTCCTCAACTTCCTCATCATCACAAATGGTGATAACTTAAAGAGTTCGATCCTTACACTTATGCCCCATCATGTACTTCTCATCACACATAAAGTACAATCCCTTTGCCCTCTTCTCCTACAACTTCTTCTCTGTCATTTTCTTGAAGTTCCCCCCAAATCCCCCTCCTCCATGCTTCTCCATTGGGGCCTTACGCAGGCTTCCTGGTGTTGGTCTCTTGGGAGCTAAGAAAGTTGTGGTCATCTTGTACGATCCCCCTGAGCTGCTGAACCTGGCTCCTCCTTCCAGATACTTTTGGTCCTCCATCAACTGTGTCAACTCCATGGCCTCTCCTAAGTTACGTGACCTTTTCACTCTAACATCGCTCAAATCTCGGGCTTGAGCCCCTTCATGAAATTCCCCTCCAGCACAGTCTCGAAAAGTCAATCCAGCCGGCTAGCTAAGTACTCAAATCTGTCATAGCACTTTTCTATAGAAACCTACTGCATCAAGGCGAAGAATTACTCATAGAAGTCCCCTCCAGATTGGTACCATGCCAATGCCTTTCCCTCTGAGCATAAACCGGCTGTGGTCAATTTCTCCTCCTTCGTCAACCCGTTGACGACAAAATACCTTTCTACCCAATAGATCCACCCATGTGCATCACCCCCTTAAAAAATATGTATCTTTAATTTTTAGACCTTCAAATCTCCCTCATTTCTCCTGATTCCTTCATAATTTACCCTTCCCCAAGTTGGTGGTCCTCCCCAAGTGTCCCGATCCTCCCTCACACATTCATACTCAAATCCTTCTTCGAATTCCCCTCTCCTTCCTTCAAAATTAGCACCTTGGCGACAATGATCTCCCTCTCTTGGTTCCCAGTCAGCACCCCTTTGCTCTGCCCCACATATCCACACCTTTTCCCATATCCTACCTCCTCTCTCCTCACTCTGGAAAGGCACCATATGGGGTCTTCTCCCTTCTCTCTCTACGATCTACACCACATTTTCAACCCTACGAATTTCAAAATTCATATTTTTTCCTTCTGGCCCTCTCGCCTTTGATGTCGTCGTTTGGTTGAGGAGATCCAACATCTTCTTCATCATGTCATGTAAGTAAGAGAATTGCTCTTCCATGGAGGAAGTTTTGTTCTCCACCGTTTCTTTGATTTGGTTCATCTCCCCCTCAAGGCGTTCCTCCAATGCATCCACCTTTTTGGCTGCCATTGATACACCGATTTTTGTGAGACTCAAAAATCAATATTTCTTCCCCAAAAAACAGCCACACCAATGGTCCGAACAAGAAAAACTTCAGCAGGAATCCGCCAAAGTCACCCCAAAACTATCTCGAAAAGCGGCCATGATACCAATTTGATAGGAAATAAGAGAAAATTATTTTGCAGAAATCAGCAATCCAACACGCTTCCAAGCAGTTTTTGAAAGAAAAACAGAGAAATAATGGAGGGAAAAACTTTTAATCTGATAGTAAATAAAAGAAAATCGCAAGATATACTTGGATCTTCAATTGGAGAGAAAGATCTAGCTCTCCCAATCTCTAGCCGAAGACTAGATCCCAAGCAAAACCTTAAAAAGTATCAAATTCTGCAAAACATACAACATAACCCTAACCCTAAAATAGAAAATACTATTAAAGCAAAAGCAAACAACAAATCCCTAAACATCCCCTAGAATTTGAATTCTTTCTCTCAAATCCTTCACAATTAAAACCATAACACCACAATTAAGAGGGTTGGGCCCCACATACTGTCCCCCCACCCTCCTCCCTCCCATCAGGCGAATCTATTACACTTGGAAAAGTTCATAACATATCCAAGTGGGACTGATTTATCCTACTCCTCAAGAGCTGATCTAACAGCCTCCACAGATCTTCATCCTGGCCATGACATCAAATATCAAGGTACGACTGAGATTTCACACTCTCCTTTAAGCAGGGGAATATAAATCTGTCATTCTCAGCTTGGTAATCAGTCATAGGAAGGTAAAGTTATCAAATCCTTTGGTCAGAATGTCTGCAAGCTGGTCTTTTGATGATACATGGTAGATACATATAAGAAAACTATCTAATTTCTCCTTCATGAAATATCTACCCACTTCTATGTGCTTGGTCCTGCCATGCTGAACCAAATTGTGAGCTATGTTGATTATTGAATTGTTGTCACAATGCAGCTTCATGGGTCATTCCCATTTGATCCTTGGGTCTTCTAAAATCATCTTGATCCCTATTAGCTCAAATATTCCCAAGGTCATAGCTCTGTACTTTTCTTTTGCACTAGATATTGCCTCCACACTCTATTTCTTGCTCCTCCATATAATAAGATTTTTTCCAAGGAAGGTGCAGTTTCTTGATATAGATCATCTATCTATTGGTGATCCTGCATAATCTGCATCAGTATATGCTTCTAGAGTTATTCCATAGTCTCTTCTGAAGAGAATCCCTTTATCTGGATTCATTTTAAGGGAGTGCAGTATTTTATCTGCAGCTTGCATGAGAGTTTGCTGGATTTTGCATAAACTGGTTGAGCATGCTTACAACAAAGGCTATATCTGGTCTAGTGTGGGAAAGGTAGATCAATTTTGCCACAAGTCGCTGGTAAGATCTCTTATCTACGCTCGGATCTTTTTTAGCTTCCTCCAATTTGAGATTTTGTTCTCCTGGTGTTGGTGCCAGTTTACAAGTTATTTTACATGTTTCTTTAAGAAGATCATTAATGTATTTCTGTTGAGAAATGAAGATTCCTCTACTGGAGTAAGCCACTTCAATTCTAAGGAAATATTTTAATTTATTAAGTTTTTTAATCTCAAATTCCTTGGCATGACATTTCCTTAGAATCACTTTATCTTTTTTATCATTTTCAATCTATATGATATCATACACATAAACTAATAAAACTATGACACCCCTTGAATCTGAGTGTTTGAAGAATAATGTATGGTCCTCTTGGCTTTGTCGATATTTATTGAGTACCATAACTTTTGAAAATCTTTCAAACCAAGCTATAGGCTACTGCTTTAACCTATATAGAGCCTTTTTTAACAGACATATTTTGTCATTTTTAGATTTTTCCTTGAATCCTAGTGGAATCTATATAAATATTTTTTCTTCCAAGTCCCCATATAGAAATGCATTTTTGACATACAACTATTCCATATGCCAGTTATAATTAGCTGCTAGTGAGAGCAAGATCCTCACGGTATTTATCTTGGCCACAGGTTCAAAAATTTCCTAGTAGTCAATGTTGTACGTCTAAGTGTACCCTTTCGCTAACAATCTTGTCTTATACCTTTCTAGTGTACCATCAACTTTATATTCCATAGGGAACAACCATTTGTAGCTGACTAGTCTTTTTTCTACTGGTAGGTCGGCGATCTCCTATGAAAGAAAAGCATGCTTAAGTAAAGGAATCTATGACCTCGAAAGATGATTTGCCACCTCTAGGGGAGTTTTTCAATTGAGCATACGTATAAGATAGTAACCAAAAAGATGAAAATAATGAAGATAATTTCTTATTAAAGATTCCTATATGATATTACTCTAGATGTCAAACAGAAGACAGAATTTAACCCAAACAAGCATCACAAAAATGTAAATAAAATCTTACACTTTAAGTCTCATGCCCAGTTCCCGTAAGAATGTACAATATGATTTCCTAAGATAAGTCTCTTTTTTCAGATCAATACCATCTCTCCTTGATGGAGAGTATTCTTCAATTTCCTTCCTCGTGAAGTACCATCTGGCCCCATAGTCATGAGGTTCCTCAGAACAACCAACTTGTGGTCCATTTTGTCCCACTCCATGATGTGAAGAATCCACTGTTGCGTACCCAGCCATATGAATTCTATATTTCAAGCAAGCTAGAGGATGATGGAATTCTAAATGCAGCCACAACTCCGGTCAAACTTCAACTTCCTACATGGAACAATGAGAGAACTTCAGCTCCCAAATCTTGTGCATTCACGAACAGATTAAAAAATTACTGACTTCAGAGAAGTACAGGTTTGGCACTGACATAACTTCATAATCAAACGCATTCAATTAACAAAAAATTAATGATGAAAAATTATCAATACAACCAGGAATGATAAAAAAGCTATAATCATTAGCTCAAGAAGATAGGAGCCTGAAATAAAGCAATAATCAGTAGCTCAAGAATGCTTTGGGAAATATGACTAAGCAACATACAGGAAACAGCAAGTGACTACTATTCACGAATAAATACCTCAAATGAATATTTCTAAGATTACAATAGGAAGAATCAATCACCAAAAGGAATAGCGTAAATAAAAAATGCCTTGCATATGTTGTTTGTGTGCAGAATAGCATAGCAAAGATTGAGAAAGGAACACATAACCATTAATGCACAAACACAATAAGCCTTTATATCTTGCAAGCACAAAGAAACAGGATAATTTTGGCCACAAAAGTAAAGTGAGATTTCACTTCAAATGCTTTGAATGAAATTAGCATATTTGAGTCAGATCAAAAATAAAACTTCATTGCACAAAGAACGAAGTATTAACATCGTTGTGAAATGTGAACATAATTTGAAAAGAAAAAAACCTTATTTTATTCACGCAAGGAAAATTTTCCAAGCTCACAAATAGAGCAGGCAACAAAAAAATGCCAGATAAAGAACAATGTACACAAGTCCCTGTGCAAAGTTTGAAATAAATAGTAGAATAGATACACAGAAGAGAGTAGTTCCAAAAAAGTCCTTAGACGGTGTATCAGTGTATGCCATTGGCATTTAACGTTGCATAGGATTCCGATGTGAGAAATGCAAGAGAATTTGTTGATAAATGTCCTTCTCATTATCAACAAATAAGAAGGCCTCAAGCATAGCCATAGTATAATGAACTTTATAATAATCCTATGTGGGCAACGTTAACTGTTATACTCTAGCCATAACAGTTTGTCTGAATGCACCTAATTTATAAGTTGCATCGTCAAATATATGAATCCCAATATATTATATCTCTTAAAATCCTTTGCAAAAGAGTGGTCATGATAAAAAATAGATACAACCGTAAGTGTTCTATCCTGAAGACAATCTAAAATTAAACTCTCCATTGAAAGATAAATTTATAGTTAAGCCTCTGATTAAACCTGAACTTCAAAAATGAATTTTCTTGTGAATCAGAACCAAACTACGTACAAACTTGAGTCAAATCACCTCATAGATGCTAAGTTGCTAGTTTACTTTAATTTCCCTTCTCATTCTCCAACATTTGATGAATTTTTTGTTAAGATTAGCATTGATATATCATCAAAAAAATTATCTTGATCGGGCACGAATCTCAAGGTAGAATCAAGATGGAAACTTCAAAAATTAAATCTGGGACCATCGGAACTCTCATTTCAGCAAACTTATAGTCGAACTGAACGTCTCGAAACTACGAACCCAACGACACCAAATTCGACTCAATCCGAGCCCAAATGAGTCCAAATCAAAGACCCGAAGCTCATTTGAAAAGTTCAAACTATAATTTGGATTATCAAAGATTTTCCAAACGTGACATGCTTATAGTCGAATCAAGTGGCTCGATGAGACGAATCCAATGAGCCCAAGATCGCCAAATTCTAATATCATTAAGACATTAAAATGTCCAATAAACGGTCCACGATCAAGGGATTCAATATTAGCCATACATTAAAATCACTTCTAATTTACCCCTGTTCTTCCTCTCATTTATTGGCCATGCCACTCTCATGAGGATCGAAGAGGAAGCAAGAGAGAGAAGGAAGAGACTCCTCGACAGCCGTCAGACTTTCACCCGGCAGCTGACCGACACTGAACTTCTGCTCGACGTCAGACCTCCGCTCGTCGCCGTATTTCTACCCGACACCAGACTTTTGCCCGTCACTAGACATTCATTGGACTTCTACCCATCGTTGGACTTCTACCTGACCTCAGACCTCCGTTTGTCGCTGGATTTCTAACTAAAGCTGGACTTCTACCATACGCTGGAGTTCTACCCGACGTTGGACCTCCGCTCGTCGCCAGATTTCTACCCAAAACTGGACTTCTACCCGACGTTGGACCTTCGCTCGTCGCCGGATTTTTACCCAACATCAAACTTCTACCAGACGCCAGACCTCCGCTCGTCATCGGATTCATACCCGACGTCGGACTTCTGCTCGTCGTCAGACATTCGTCGGACTTTTACCCAACGTCGGACCTCCACTCATTGTCGTATTTCTACCCAGCGTCGGACTTCTACTCGATTCCGGACCTTCACCCGTCTCCGGATTGCTACCCGACACCAGACTTCTGCCTTACGCCAGACTTTTTTCTGATTTCTACCAGATGTCGGACTTCTGTCCGTCGCTTGACTTCTACCAGGCCACCAACTAACGTCATACCGTTGCACGGCTTCCAATTGATTCCGGACCTCCGTAGCCCTTTCCGACAACGATCTTTATGACCACTGTTGTCTGCTGACTACAATCCTTTCAACTTCCATCATCAGACAACGATCCTTTCGATCTCTGTTGCCTCGACCTCCGTCGTCCACCTACTATGGTCCTTCCTACCTCTATCACCAGACAACGATCATTCCAACGTAAAAATCTTGGCATCTCTTGAATACCGCACCATCTTTCTTTTTATCTGATTGCGTATTGGATATTCGTACAAAAGCTAAGACATTAAACTTTATATTTCTCTACCACCGCGAATACTCCAGGACGCAACAAGCATAATAGTTAGCATTAGAATTTTTCGCTTGTAAGCACAATACTAATTAATTGATATATCTATGATCCGATAGCATATCAAAGAGAAAAACAAACAAATAGAAGCAATGAAGAGAGTACGTAATAAAATGGATTAACTTCGGAAAAACTCCACACACAACAAATACAATTATGGTATATATACTGCGCATCCTGGAAATTTGACTACTTCTAACCAAATTCAATAGATGCTTCTTCCTCCATATAAAATATCTAGTCAACATCAATCAGAAAAGTCCAAAAATTAAGTTTTTATAAGACGAGTCGAGAAACACCATGCAGTTCAAAACATCAAGTTGAGTTGTTCATTGGCGTCCCAAAAAAAAAATTGTTCCTTGGAACCAACAGACTTAAAATATATAGATGTTTGGAAAAAGTAGCAAGTTAATTAGCATTTACTGCAATGCACGACCCAGAAAGCATACCCATAGAAATTGAAACTCCTCTCTATGCAAACCTTGCATGCCAATGAACGAGGAAACAAAGAAGAAAAACATAAAGAAAAAACAAGCATAAAAATATTCTCATGTACATAAATTACCGTTTTTACCTCAATAAATAAAACATAAACGAAGATAAATTTAAGTTGCGTCAAACATAATCAATTCCCTTACGAAAGCCAAATTTCCCACCCTATACCAGGCAAAAAAGATTGGCCGACCACACACTACGCATTCCTACAAAACCTAGCCCTAAACTCTCAAAACCATCTTAGAACCAAGTTCGTCCTCGCAACAGCAAGTTTCGTAACACCATTATTCCTTCTCAAAACCAAAAAAAAAAAAAACCTAACCGAGATCCGCATCTTACCATTGATTTCCATACAAATCAACAAACTTGAAGGATCCATAGCCAATCAAAGTCGGAAAAGATGATCCAGATCATAATTACGAGATGAGAATGCGAAGAAGAGATGGAAAAGCATACAATGTGAATCCAGCGACGCCGACGACCATAACCATTGGTTAGAAGCAACGCTCTTCCACGTTCTGGACAAAGGAGATGGCCAATGAAGACGGAAAAGGAGAGGTGCATGCTTTGATAGTTAGTTTTGGGAACCTTATATATACTGGGCCTACTGGCTCTCCGGTCCTCTAGCTTCTACCACGTGTCTATTACCTTATTTATAGTTTTTTTTGTTTTGAATTTTTCAAAAACAAGAAATTATCATCATATTAATAATGTACTGTAATTTTTTATAAAAAAAGCTTAATTTTATTATATGGGGTCATGATCTTAAAGATAAATTAATGACTTAATTTTGTTGTTTTTTATAAATTATTCGTTAAATTTGATTAAATTATTAGTTGTTTAAATTACCTTCATTAATGTATTTTTTATTTAAAATTTTATGTAAAAGAATTTTATAAGTTTATGCGAACTATTTGAATATAGGAGTGTTAAAAACACAATCCATTAATATTATTACTAGTATTAGTACTGTTGATTGGTAGTGATATTATAACTGATAATATAATGGATTGAGATGTAATGAACTGTATGGATATTTATGCATTAATTTTTTAATATGATTTATAGCATGTTGTTCTCTTTTATCTTGCATTAATTTCAATTGTAAGGTTTTAGTTATTATTTAGGCTATGTGCTCATTATATGGTTTTATATATATTTTTAGAAAAGGGTAAGATCATATGATATAAGGCTCCGAACAATATTCATAATTTTTCTACCTGCAGTTCTAGATAAAATGTGATCATATTTCTTTTCGTTGTTCATTAGTAAGCTCTAGTTAAATGATTATAATGAAAACAGATGTAATTCTTTCAATATAGATTCTAGAGTACTGTGACAGATAAAGCTCAAAACTGATAAAAATGTCGATGTTTTATTTTTCGGGAAGTAAGCTTGAAAATTCTCTAAGAATTAAAATATCCCCACTCAAGACCATGAACCTTTTTAAGTCTTTCCAAACCCAAATTAATTTGAATAACATTTGAATAATATTTAAAAAATATTAATCAAAGTTAAAACTATATGCCATAAAATTGATTCACATTTGAATATTCTTCAAATTCTATTTGAATAGTCGTCTTTGTTACTAAAAAAAGATGATTAAGGTTCAAATATTATTAAAAAAATTACTAATTAAATTGTACATTCGAATAAAGTTCCGATAACATTTGACATAACATATCAAATTTAAAGAGTGATCACAACAAAAATATATAAAATTCACTAATTTTGAAATATATTTATGTTGATCTAATTTTGAAATAAGATAACACTAATCAATATTAAGCTTAGATTAATTCTTGTTATACATAGCCCATGATCTTAACTTAATGGTTGGGGACTTTGACTCCCACCATAGAGGTAAAGAGTTTTGTGACTGAGTATTCAAGTGTGCAAATAAGTTTATTAAAAGTTAAAAAATAAAAACCAAAAAGAACTTAAGGTATTTAGTTTGTGCATAAAAATATTATCTTATTTTAAAAAACTTGACCTAATCTCTAATAAATAAAATTTTTCAAGAGGTTATTTGACTTTAGCTATTTTAAGTGTACTGAATTTGAGATTTTGAGTTTTTTGGTGTTTGGTTGTGAGTAAAGTAAATCCAATTTTTTTAAAAAGAAATTTGGAACTTGTTGTGTAGTTTATTTTATATGTATGATATATGCAGCGCAGTTGCCCTTGAGAGAAATTATTATGTTCGGACGTCGGACTCAACTTTATGTCCGAAGGAAAATCATGTGTTGCCACGTTAGTGGTACCGAGCTGTGATACTGAGTTGTATCGAACAGTACCGAGCCGCAGTATCGAGCGAAAGGGTGATGTGGCGCATTCTGGTTGGCCTCCGGACAACGTTCAACACCTGAATAGAATTATTTTTCATGTGGCTAACATTTATTCCTATTTTTCTTCACATGAAATCAATCCCAATAATAAAAGCCCGTAGCAAACTAATGCTACTAGCACTAAAGCTTTGGTTGTGACAGCTTTCTCATTGCATTTTAAAGCAGGTTTCTAGTACAAAAATTTTGAATTCAAAAAATTTTTGTACCAGAAAACTGTTTTAGAAAATAATAAAAAAATTATCCCAAACATGCAATCAACTTCGTAATACCTCATCAAATGAGCATCCATCATAATTTTTATAGCTTAGTTGTTGAGAACAATTTCAAGAATTAGAGTTAATATATCATCAAAAAGTTATCTTGATCAGGCACAAATCTTGAGGCAAAATCAAATTCGAAGCTTCAAAAATTAAATATGGGACCGTCTAATTAAACTCCAATTTCAGTAAACTTATAGTCAAAATGAACGTCTTGATAATATGAACCCAACAACACCAAATTCGGCCCAATCCGAGCTCAAATGAGTCCAAATCAAAGACCCGAAGTACATTTGGAAGGTTCAATCCATAATTTGGATTACCAAACATTTTTTTAACATGACATGCTTATAGTTAAATTGAGAAGTTTGACGAGACGAATCCAACGAGCCTAAGATTGTAAAATTCTGATTTCATTAAGACATTCAAATGTCCAGCAAACAGTTCATTATCAATGAAATCAACATCAGTCGTCTATTCAAACCACTTTCAATTTACCCTTGATCTTCCTCCTATTTATTAGCCATGTCACTATCAAAAATCTAAATTATACCTCTTATTTCTTATATGAGGGAACCTAAGTAAGAAAACAATGAAGAGAAGGAAGAGAACTCTCTTGCCATTAGACTCCTCCTTGATCACCGCCAGGCTTTCACCCGGTAGCCGACCAACGCTGGACTTTCTCCTAACCACCGAATGACGTCAGAATTCTGCACGATTGCCAAATTTTCACCAGACCACTAAACGTAGCTGATTTCTGATAATCGCTCGCATAACTGGATTTCAACCCGACGATTAATTATTGTGAACTGATTGTCCTCGATTTCAAGGTCGAGTCAGTCACTTGTAATCTAATCAAACACAAGTGGAATCATTTTAGCTGGGTGTAACCCTATGGTTTTTCCCTTTTCCGAAGTTTTCAACGTAAAATTTTTGGTGTTTCAATTTTCTTTTATTTGTGTGTTGGATATACGTACAATGCTGAGAAGAAAATTTCTAACTCTATCATCGCGTTTATTCTAGCCCGCAACAAGAGTAATAGTATATTAACAAGTTCCTCACCTAACTTAGTTTACTTTTTTTATTTATTTTATTTTAAATGTTAAATTATCAATTTTCTTAACTTCAATTAAAAAGATAATCTCTTAGATTTCAAATATATTATATTTAATTTACACTTAGGCTTTTTTTAGGTACATTTTTTGTTATTTTCTAAAACAATTTTCTATTAAAAAAATTATACTAAAAAGGTTACTTTTAAAAAATAGTAAAAAAACTATCTCAATAAAGCCTAGGCTTTATTTGCCACAATTTTCTTATTATTTCTTAAAATAATTTTTTATTTCAAAAATTTTTAGTTCTAAAATTTTTTATATTTAAAAACTACTTAAAAAAATAATATAAAAAATCTGTCTCAAGAGAAACCTTAATCTAAAATATCTTAATCTGCGATTTTAAAATATCTAAAATATCTAAAATATCTTTGATTTTTAAATACTTCACCCAAACTGCCTCAAATAAGCCACGCATCACCAACCACTGGACCCCTTCTCCTCCCCAATTATTATATTTCGCCCTGCCTGCTCCATCCCGGCCAAAACCCTCTCTCTCTCTCACAATCTGCGACAAATCAAGATGTTAGAAAGCAAGAGACCGCGTTCGCCTTTGCCTTTGAGGCGGACGACAAGCATGAAGGATGTGTCGGCGAAGGACGGGCCGCCCCCGCCCCCGCCCCCGTCCGACCAAGAGATTCCGGCAACCGTCGACGAAAATAGGCAACAGCGGCGGCGGAGGGTGGCTGAAGTCCAGAAGTTAGAACGGCGGTGGAACGGAACTGATTCGACGGTGGCGCCATCGGTGGAGATGCTTTCATCATTGGGATCTGCAGGAGGCGCCGGCGATTTTCCGGCAGCGACGACGATAAAGCTTTCTCCTTTCCTTGTGGATTGTTCACTCTGCAAGTTGCATCTCCTCCCCTCCTGCGACATCTTCATGTATAGGTATATTTTGTTTACATAAAATCAAATTCACAGAATTTGATAAACAATATTCTGAATCTTCTCTTGACAGGGGTGAAGCCTTCTGCAGCTTGAAGTGTCGTCAGCAGCTGATAAATCATGATATAAAGAAGGAGAAATTGAAGTTATTCCTCTTCTCCATGATGAAGAAGGCCTCTGCTCAGACGAACTCTCAGGCATCTAAGGCTTCAGGAAAAGCTGAAGAAACAATGGCTGCCGCCTGAGAAGAAGAAGCTTAGCTTCACACCTTACATGCTTAGAAGATAGCTTAGATTTTTTTTTTTTTTTTTTTGGGTAGTTTGAGCTGTTCATAGCTTCAGTACTGTTCTCTTCTTCGTTTGTTTCATTTTCTATCTATTATTATGCATTATATTCAGAAAATATATGAATTTTAGGTATAAATTATGAAGCTCGCTGCTCGTCTTAGTTGAATGCTTTTTATGATTGCTTTATTAAAAAATAAAGTATTTTAGCAATAAATCTGCGAGCAGTTTATGTTTTTTGTTTCTATTTTACTTAATTTTCTCTTTATATTAAAAAAATGGGGTGAGAGTATCCTTACAAAAATGCAGGTGAATTTTAAAATTCTTATATTTATTTTAATATTAGTGTAATATAATATTTTTAATTATTTTTTATATATTATATTCATATTGAAATAAATATTAATTTTCTCCTATTTATATTCACTGCAACTTTAAAATAAGGACTATTCGGTTAAAGCTCCTCTCTATTTTAGTCCCATTCCATCATAATTGTGATTCAAATTGAATGAAATTATGAGTCTGTTTAGAATAACTGTATTTTTTATAAAAATAGTTTTAAAATTATTATAAAAAATAAAATTTTCGCTGAGGTTCTTTGCCAACACTGGGTATTGTGTAAAAGGATGGACGGTTCTCTGCCGCACCGGGGAGTGGTGAAAAGAGTGTGTTGTAAAGGCTTCTCCGCCTTGCTGTGGGTGCAAAAGGAGAGTCACTATTGGTATTAGTGCAATACTCAGAGGGTGCCTCTGGGGAGTGGATGTAGGTCTGGTTATAGACCGAACCACTATAAATCTGGTGTCATTTACTTTACTGTTTTTACGTTTCCGCACTTTCTATTTCAGTTTTAAAAACTCTGTGGTTGAAAAACCTTTTTCTACAAAATTTAAAAGAGATTTTATTTCGGTTCAATAATTTTTAAAAAGGGGTCTTAAATTTTAATTTTTTTAAACTACCAATTCACCCCCCTCTTGGTAGCCTTGGGACATTCACTTAGGCTTAACAACCTAATTACTAGACTCAACATAAACGAGTCTAGCTGATTCGTGTTTTGGCATTATCGAGCTCAACTCGTTGGTCGGAAAGCGAGCTCGAGCTCGAGCTCGTGTCGAGCTCAAAAGTGAGGTATAATTTCTTACCTATCAAGCAACTGTATCGGGAGGATTTGATAATGGTTTCTATTAGTGTTGTTGAGTTTAGTTATAGGATCCATTGACATATTTTATGGTTTGCTAGCAACACAACTTGCATCTTCTAATAATTGCATAGTACAATAATGTTGAGACAATGAAATACTACTGCTAAAGTGTGCTATTTCAAGACAAAAAAAAAAAAATTTATGTTATCCCAATCTTTTAGTCTGAATTGATTATGAAGGAGAATTTTGATTGAATTAATGGTCGGGAGAGAAAGATTAGTACTTATGGTGTCATTGATGTAATTGAAGAAAGTGACAATTGCATGAAGCCAATGTTAATAAAAATTTTGATAGCATTGAGTAACATTAGTGTGATTCCTTTTTTTAGTCCATACATAAATTTGCGGAGTTTTCAATTGGTTTGATTGTTGTGATGCTCCTCCCCTTGGCTGGTGTAGCCAAGATGAAGCTCCATGGAAACTTCTAGAATGTCACATTATAAGAAGGTATTGTTAATATATCTAATTGTATGAGGTTCCAATGACTTGCAACAGCAAGTACTAGGAGAATTTAATGCTCCATCATATGACAATGTGCTAATCTCCTTTTATCACATATAATTTTTTAGGCATTTACGTGCCATTGATCAAACAAAAGAAGCGTTTTTGGTGTAATAATGAGAATTTAGAGAATCCATCAATCAATGTTTAATAATTGCAAAAGTTTACTAGTTAAATAGAGCATGAACATTCTAAGAGAGTATGAACACAATAGTTTGAATTAACTCCAACCCGATAGTTCTCTCAGAGTACCATCACTCCAATCGTCAGCAACAACAGTAGTACATTTGATCACTTTGCAAATACTTCAAAATGAAATGAGATAGTTTATGCAGCAGTATTAGGGACAACATCCACCTCCTTGAAGCTCAGCTATGATAAGTAAACTTAATCTACAAGATTGTTTTCATTTAAAATTAGGATTAGAATATCCTTTTGACATGTATTCAATTCAGCTTATAGAAAAATGTGTTTGTTTGTTACTTTTCATATATAATTAGTGTATCGCCTTTAAATACTTATCAATTGATTTTATTGCTTGTAATATACTTTTTAATTTTGACAAATTAGACATAAGATTTATATGTTGATAATGTTCACTCAATTTATATTTGTACAATGCTCTCATTAATTTTTATAATTTGATCTCAACATTCAGTTTTTGGAATCAGTTTTTTTTTTTTCTTGTGCGGCAGAATAGAAGCGGTTTTAATTGTTGCTATATTACAATATTGCAGTGATTTTAGCTATTGATATATTATAGAATTATAGTGATTAAAATCACTGCAAATGTTCAGATTTGGAGCATTTTACAAACTAAACTCTCAACCTTTCCATCTATTTCGCCCTAGTCTCCCTTTTCCCAAGTACATTAGCTAACCCTATCTCCCTCTCCCATACTTATATACACATGTAAAACTGTGTTATATATTCAAATTATTCTTGCAAACCTGCAAAACTATAACTTCAAATGGTAAAATGTTGGGTTAACTTGGCTATTATATATTTATTACTTTAGCTCTGTATAAAAATCTAACACACACAAATAAAAGTTATGAGAGATAAGAAAAAAATTTTAGTGGAAAATTCAAGAATGAGAAAGACATAGGAATTAATTCGACCAAGTTGCAATAATCTACTATGTATGACAGGTACAAGAAGCCTCTCTTCCTTACAATTGAAGAAGATGATATGATGCGTAGTTGAGTACAATTATATGCATTTTAGTTGTAAGAATTATAAAAATCAAATGTCTACAAGTGGATAATTAAAACCCAACAACATGGATATATAATAATAGTCAAATGATAATAGTCTGATGATGAATTCCGGCGATAGTGGCGGCGATTGTTGATGGGATTCATCAATGATGGTCGCCTGAAATTGTTAGAGTTTTTTTAGTTCTTATAGATCTTAAGCTTCCTTCATGTAGAGAATGAGCCCTATTTATAGCCTCTTTGAGAGGGAACATTTTGATAAATTTAACCAAAATGCAAAAACACGCTATTGTATGATCTATATTAATCCCCTTGATTGTATATCACTTATCAAATATTTGAGCGCCTTAATGATGATAGAATCAAATTATCTTGGGTTCCTTAGATTCGTCTCGTCGAGCAGCTCGGTTTAATTATAAGGATGTCTTAATTGGTGATAGTTTAGTTCTTCAATTAATGTTTAAAATTTCTCAATATATTTTATATGCCTAATTTGAACTCATTTTGAGTTAGATCGAATCACTTATAGTGTCAGTAGATTCATCTCATGACTCTCATCGATACATTAAGTTTGACTACAAATTTGTTGAAATCAAACTTTGGGCTATCCGTACTTTAATTATGAAATTTGTAATTCAAATATTACTTTGAGATTCATGCCTATTATATGATTTTTTTTGGAGACGTGTCGATACAGACAAACCCAATTGATGAATATTTTTTATCAATAAAATAAGGATTATTTTCATATGGCTTGAGGGTGACCATCTAAATTGTCCATTGCTCGTCATAATGATTATGCATGCCCCAAGAAAGTTTTTTCATGTTGAAGCCTCCAAAATTTCTTTGCAATAGGTTAAGGTTTCGTTTAGAATGGCATTTTAATTGCTTTCTAAAATAGCTTTTTAGTACAAAAAAGTTTTAAACTAAAAGATTTTGTACTAGAAAACTGCTTCAAGAAAGCATTAAAAAAGCGGTTCCAAACGAAGCCTAAGGTCCCATTACACAGTTTGAAGTTTATTTTAGAGTCCCTGAACATGGGAAACGTACCTATAACATTTATAGCTGCAAACTTTGTTTAGAGTGGGTTAAAGGATTGCAAACGCCTATGACCAACTATTCTGCATGTGTTCATGGTAATTAAGATGGCTTCAATTGTTGGTGTTCAATAAATAAAGTAAAATGGTTTTTTTCCTCCTTTCTATTCAATATTTTCTTAGCTGAATCCAACAATAGATCATGTCATTACCAAACCAGTTGAAATATGTCAATCTTGTAAACATACAAACAAAATTGTTCCTAACAATTAAATCAGCTGAGGTTTTATTTGAGACAGCTTTCTTCCTACTACTTAAAGCGGCTTTCTAATAAGGCCGCTTTACAAAACAGTAAGAAAGCCGTCCCAAACGAAACCCGAATATGCAAACTCATCATTTACAAGATTCTCCCCCTTCTAACTTCTAAACTCTACCTTCTGATATATTAAACTCATCAACATGGATCAAAAACAAAAATGATTCTTCAATTAGAAGGCACATGATAGTATTTTCCCTTACACATACACCTATACACAATTGGGCAAGACTCGGCAATCGAGCATTTGAAGCTCACCATAACTCTTTTGCAAGGAAAGCAAGGTCCACAAGCATGCGAGCAATCTGGCAAGCTTGATCCGGTTGCATAGGGGTCAAGCATTGGATCCTCATCACCTTCTTTCTGAACTTGAAACAACTAAAAAGAAACAGACAAAACAAGAAAAAAATCATTCTTTTTCTGTACAGTGTATCAGTACATGAAAATCTTGCAGTTTGGAAATAAATGAAGGAAATGGACGACATCAGTACCTCTGATATCACATTTTCTTTGTCATCCTTTGCCATTCTTCCGCTTGAATTCAGCACAGCATCTGTGCACAAGTCAAGTGAACTGTCATTAGAACAAATTCAAGAAAGAAGAAAATATTAGAGCAGAAGACAGATTGATCTGGCTTGCCAGGAGTAGGTCGAAGGCCTTTGCTGGTGCTGAAGAACAGAAGGAGAATGGCGATTGGGACACAACAGTTCTTCATTAATCCAGAAAACAGAAAGCTGAAGGTAAAAGAAAAAGAAAATGAGCATTGAAGGTGAAGGCTTTCTGTCTTTGCGCACATATATAGTACTGATATTTGAGTATTAAATATAAGGATCAAAGAATCTTTGATTGTTTTCACATGATTCATGTTGCGTTGGCTGAAAGATTCACAAGAATTTAAGAGAAGCAGGAAGAAAGGAAGGAGGGAAGATATTCATTTATGTTTGTCATTTGAAAGAGACTGACTCATAAATTTTTGTGTGGAAAAACCAGGAAGAGAAGCAAGATAGGGAGTCATGGAAGGGAAGGAGTAGAACTGCAGAAGTTATTGCTTTTAACTTTGAAAGGAGAATTGGAGTGGGCTCCATTTGCTGAGTTCACGAGCATGGAATCATATCTTTGAAGTCTTCATTTCTCATTCAATGCCGAGAGAGAGAGAGAGAGAGGGAGGGAGTTAACGGCCTTCAAAATTGGGATTGAGCTCTGCTATTGAGTTGAATGAAGCTATCTGAGCTATTGAAGGAGACTAATGAATGCACAGAAATTTCAAAACCAGTTTCGGTATGTGAGTCAGAGCCAACTGAGCTTATGATGCATATTTTGATGTTATTAAGCACAGTTTTCATGTTTAGAGCTCAGATATTCAAATTACATGATAATTAAAACCATAAAAGGCTCTTAAGTAGGGGTGTAACGAGTCAAGTTGACTCGTGAGTTGGTTCAGACTCGATTTGATAAAAAGATCGAGAGCCAACATTGATAAGCTAACAAGTTAAACTTGGGCTAACAAGTTTGTTCGCTCAAAAATATTAATATGAAATATACTTAAAATATAAAGAAATTCAAGAAGTATAGAAAAAAATTGCTAAAAAAATTTAGAAGTTATACCTTTTCTTTATTTCAAGTTATAATATTTTAATGATTTAAATATAATAATTACTTGAACAAAGAATGATTTCCTCTCTTTTAAGATAACGAGCTGAGTCATAAAATCGAATTTGAGCTTGAGTTGATTAATTAATCAAGTTTAAACTTAAGCTTAGGGTGACTTGAAATTGGCTCGACTTTTCTACACTACTACTTAAATATTCCACCATGTAGTTGAGCCTTTTAAAAAATAAAAAAATAAAAATAAAGTTCTACATAAAATATAAAAATGAAAAAAAAAATTTTGATTTCATTTTATTAATTAATGTTTTTAAATTACAGAAGGAATATTTTTGAAAAATCTTAATTTATAAATTTATATAAGAAATAGGTTTAGAAAATCAAACAAAATTAAATAGAATGAATGAAATTTATTTAAATATGCTGAAATAAATCAAAATATATTTTCTTTGTTTCTTAGTCCAACCCTACAAATCCGAATTCAAAATTAGTTTAAATTTTCTATATTTTATAAAAAGAAACACTATGCCGATTGAAAAATTGCCCTTAATACTTTGTAAAATAGGTGAAATTATCATTGTAAAATTAGCTTAAAAGCTAATAGTTATGATTTAATAATTAATAATTTTAACTATTTCAAAATTTTAACATTAATTTTTTATTTAATATTATTAATTTATTTATGTCAAAATTAATTGTATCATTTTTTATATTTTTATGTGATTTAAATATTTAAATTTTATATAAATAAATATAAAATTTTGATATTAAATAGCAAAATACCTAAAATTTAGATTTAATTTAAAAAATAATAGAATTTTAGTCGAATCCAATCCAGCCATGGGAAACCCTAATCTTCCCCGTCTAGCACCCGCTTGCCCGTCTCTGTGAGTCGGTGGGGGAGAAGGTGAATGAAGTATCCGTTCTTCGAATCTTGAACCTCTCTAGGTTTTGTCCGCCGCGAAAAAGCCATGCTTTCGATTCGCAGAAGCTCGATTTCACTCATCCGATGCCTTGCTCCGAATAGGAAGAGCTCCAACCTCTACAGCTCTTCTCACTTCCGAATGCCCCTCTCCTTCTTCACCTCTAAAGCCGAACTCCCATCTCCCGAAACCTCCTTCATCGTCAAATATCTCATCGACTCAGTTGGTTTATCTTCGGAGAAGGCGATCAAAGCTTCCAAATTTATTGCTCACATCAAATCCCCTTCGCAGCCCGACTCCGTCCTTCATTTCTTCAAGCAGAATGGTTTCACCGACGCTGACATCAAAAGGATTATCCTACAGCACTCCAGACTGCTATGCGCTAATGTTGATTCAACCCTGAAGCCAAAAATTGAAGCTTTAAGCAAGCTTGGGTTCTCTAAAACCCAGTTTGTTAAGCTAGTCACAGCTAGCCCGACATCTCTCAATTATCTGAATTATAATAATGTGCGTCCGAGGATTGAGTTCCTCAGAGCCTTTCTTGGTTCCAATGATAAAATTGTGAAAGCCTTTTCACACGATGTAACTCTTTTAGCTCGTAGCTTTGAGAAGATTATCAAGCCCAATATCATTTTTTTGACTGAATGTCAAGTTTCTGATGCCATAATTGGGTTTCTGTTGACTAAAGTTAGATTAATTATCGGCAGGCCTGTCAACGTCCTTAAAGCAGCAGTTAAGAGGATTGATGAATTGGGCATTCCTCGTGGGTCATGGATGTTCTACCAAGCTCTTCGTTCTATCTGTTCAAACACTTCTGAACAGGTTGATGCCAAGATCAAGTTGTTGAGCGGCTTAGGTTTCTCAGAAGCTGAGATTTCTTCAGCAATCAGAAAGCAACCTTATGTTCTCAGCTTGTCTGAGAAGAATTTGCGAGAGACAGTTACGTTCTTGGTAAAGGAAGCTGGATGCGATCACTCTTATTTGAGTAGCCACCCTAATATTTTCATTTTTAGTTTGAGTAAAAGATTGGTTCCAAGGAATCTTGTTTTGAAGCTTCTCAAGGCAAAGGGAATTCTGAAGAAAGATCCGGGTTTTTTTAATGTTAGCTCAATCTCTGAAAGGCAGTTTGTGGAAAAGTTTATTTTTAGATATGGAGAAAAGATGCCAGAGCTTCATGATGTTTATCTAACTGCATCTGCTGGGGAGGTTCCAAGTTAGAAACTTTTTTTTTTTTTGAAGAAGAAGCAAGTAAAGAGAAGAACATCAGTATCAGGTATTCCTGTATCATTCTTGATAGGAATTTCACCTGTGTGAATTCTAGTATGAGTTTTTTTGGTGATTAAAGTTTCTTATTTTCGCAATGGATATTTTTAGTTCACCTTTCCTTCAACTGAGCCACTGTGATATGACCATAAGATTAATTAAAGTTCATTTAAAGACCATTTGATAGAAGCATTTGCAGCTTTTTGAGGTTTCTTTTTAAGGTTTTTATCTTCTGATGTAGCTATTATCATTTACTTTAAAGCAGTATAAACCACAAAGTATAAACAAAATTTTCAAACCACTATCCGTTAAAATTTTGAAAAATGAACAACCAAGCAGAGAAATAACCACTATAGAACATTCAACCGCACAACAAAAAAGGATGATAGAAATTGGGCAAAAAAATCAAGTGGTTGTTAATATTAGTTACATTAAAAGGTATCAGAAACACAATTCTAAAACCGAATCTCTTTTAAAAAACAATGCATGCCCCAGGGGTTTAGGCATGATTTAAGCAACCAAACAAAATTTTGAAACGTTTAAAACCTACTTTTGATGAATAACATTTCAACTTATTTATTGATTAAATCCAAGATTTATTAAGGCTTCATTTGAGGCAAGTTTCTTATTGCTTTTTAAAACAGCTTTCTAGTACAACAAATAAACTTTTTGTAGTAAAAAGTTGCTTTAGAAAGCCATCCCAAACGAAACCTAAATCTCACAATTCAAGGGATTTAATGGATTAAAAATAAGGATTTAATGGATTTTAAAAAAAAGGGATTAATGGATGTAAGATTTATTCCTCTCAATGTTTAAAATTGCGTAATCGGGTATTGAGGCATTTTCCATTCGTGAGGCGAGGCGTAAGCTCCAAGACATTTTGAGGCGTAAGCCTCAAAATCAAAAAATTGTGTAAACATAAAATGATAAATGTTGTATATACTAATGAGACAAAATAAGATATGAAGTGAAATCAAAATATCCCAATAACAAGACAACATGAAATTTAGTTCAACTCAAACTCCATCTTTCTCAAATTATAGTATTCTTTTCATTAACATATAATTCCAAAAATAAATAGCAATGACATATCACATAATAACTCATAAGTCATCAGCACTGTCATCACTAAGGGGGTCTTCATTTGAATCATCACTATGATGAACTGTTCTTTCCCCTTACTCCTCTCCTATAGAGTCCAATGTCTCCCAATCAAATCCTTCTTCCTCAATATCAGTTATCTTCCTCTTCCCTAAATATTTTTGAACAATCTCAAAATAATAATAGTGTAATACATTAATAAAAGTCGAAGAAAACTATATTATTTATATACCTTTTTTGATTTGTTCTTGAGTTGTGGTGGATGTAGATGTTTTAAGACCATCAAAGAAATCAATAATTAAATATTCATTTTGTAATTCAGACGGTATCACTTCAACTTCATCATCTACAAATCACTCATCATTAGAAGTCACATCCTCGCAAAGCAAAGGATCTTCATCATCCATTAATCATTTTTTCTTCAAATTCCTATCTCTGAGTCTCCTATTGTACATAATGTACACCAGTGAATTCATCCTCAATTTGGACAAGCGATTTCTCCTCTTTATATGTACTTGATTGTAGGTATTCCAATTTCTTTTACAGTCAGATGAAAAGTATGTCAAGCCCAAAACTTTCACAGTAAAACGTAGCAAATCTGGAGTCCCATCTCCAAATTAAATCTACCACTCAAATAATATTTATATAAAAGAATTTAATTAATGCGAAAAAAAATAACTTTTAAATAAATGTTTAAAACATTAAATAAAATTACTTGGAGATCGTTTGACAATTATATCCTTTGCTTGTTGTAATCCAAAAAAACATTCTTTATTCCTAAAAGGTACCAATTGCATGTCAGCATTTGATCTTTCAGTTGCATCACTTATTAGCCGATCCATGCAATGATACAATCCCAACTTTATTTCATGATTTATAGACTTGTTCTCTGCATGTTGATACTGAAAATTTTGGTAATAATCAGCTACATGCAAGTGTAGTAGCTCCCACCTTTGATCAATAATATTGCAAATTTCTCTAAAGCTACCCTCTTCGCCTCCTCAGTTGGAGGCAATCATTTCTTTGGCTTCATTCATGGCACTATAGATGAAATTCATTGCAGGCTTCTTTTCAGCATCAACCATCCTTAAAACTTAAACCAAAGGTCTAGTGGTTGTAATGACATATAAGATATTTTGTCAAAATTTATCATTTAAAACAATCTTTCTAATCTATTTTCCCTCAGCCTTCTTCGCCCAAGCACAATTCAACCACTGTGTAGATGTGAACATAGTCTCTAAAGGTTGTCTAGCATCTAGCATGCTCTCTAATGTCAAATAAGCAGTGTCAAATTTTGTTGCTGCTGGCCTTATAATTTTTTATTTGAAAATTTTCTCATAAGAGCTAGAATCCATGAGTGGAGCTACCTCAAGCTTCTCAAAAATCAAATCTATACAAAGTGCAGCACATGGAGTCCAGTATAGATATTTCCTCTTCTCCATAAGTTTGTTACCTGCAGCCTTGTAAGCACTTGCATTATCTGTCACAACTTGTACAACCAAATATTCTCCAACATCCTTAATAATGATATATAATAATTCAAATATGAACTCAGCATCTTTGACCTGGTTAGATGCTTCAACTGACCTTAAAAACACAGTACCATAAGGATTATTAATGAGAATATTGATCAGACTTTTATGTTTGATATCAGACCACCCATATGACATAATTGTTACTCCTGTTTGAGCCCAAGTCATCTTAATTTCTTTTATGCTTTTATCAGTGCTTTTCAACTCTTCCTTCAGAATTCATGTTCTCAAATCATACATGGTTGGAGATTTGAATCCTCTACCAAATGCTCCAACTGAACGAATCATGTTATAATATGCAGGTGATGTTGCAACATTAAATGGAATTATATTTTTGTAGAAGAATATGCCTATATCCTTACACACTCTTCTTCGTGCCTCCCTTGTATTTTCTAGGGCCATCTTCTGTATAGTAAGAGGCCCATCATCTGATGTGTCTACCATATAATGATCCTTAGGCCCTCTAACACCCCTAGATGAAACGTGCTTCATGGAAGAAGATGAATCCCTAATGCTGCGCTCACTCCCGCAATAAGAGCCAACATCAACTCTGTCCTCAAATTGCTTCTGTGCAAGCTATTTTGACGTGGTAGACTTATTCATGTATGACTTTATCTCATCCCTTACAATATCAGGAATTTTAAAGCATGGAGCAACATTCTTGTGAGACCCTGAAAGGTGATCCTTCATCCTAATCACACTACCCTTCACAACTTTATCACAGTAATTACATTTTAGATAGATATATGTTTTATCACTTCCCCTACATCCACCTGAGTGCTATGTTTCCATGTTGAATCTTTTCTATGACCTGATGCAGCTTTATATTTACTTTTGACCATCCTTTATGAGAAGAATATAATAGTGCAATATATCAAATCCCTAAACATAATGTTTCAGTTATTCTACATTAAGAAAACTTATACAAAACATACACTCATGAATAAGCAGACTAACACTAACAACTATTATTAAGGATGATGAATACAACAATATACCGATCTTGCGGGGGTCCGAGCAATACCGAGCATGTACTTGCTCGGTACCGAACATTGTTGTACCGAGTGGTACCGAGCATATACCTAGCAGTACCAAGCATGTAACTAGCGATACAGAGCGATACCAAGTGGTACCGAGCAGACAGACCGATTGTGGAATCTTACTCAGCAGAATATAGAGGTTCTTATAGCAGAATGGACGGATCTTGTATTTCAAAATAAGGTGATGGATGAAACTAAGAAAAAGAAGAGCTTTCAGTGGTTGGTCAAAGGAGACTGCAACCCAACTCGCGGTAGAAGATAACTCCAAGAAATAGGCGAAGAGCAACTCATGGTGGAAGGAAGAGGGAAAAAGGTCGCTTGAAGAAGAAGGGAGAAAACGTGTTTTCGGGAAATGACGGAAGACCGCGCGAGGGTTGGGGGGGTCCGAACTGAACAAATATATATTATGTTAGCTTTTTTTTTAAAAAATTTTTAGAGGTGGACACCTCTAAACCGTGAGGCGAGGCGCGCCTCAGTAAACTTAAGGCATAAGCCTCAAATCCTGAACTTATTGCGTGTGCTTTGAGTCTTAAAGGGGCGAAATTGCGCTGAGGCGCGCCTCTTATTGCACAATTTTAAACCATGATTCCTCTAATAAATAGTAAATCCCAAACAACTAGCAAACAATTCATTAGAATTTAGTAATATTTAGCAAATTTCTTGTGATATGGCCATAAGATTAATTAAAGTTCATTTAAAGACCACTTGATAGAAGCATTTGCAGCTTTTTGAGGTTTCTTTTTAAGGGTTTTTTCTTCTGATGTAGCTATTATCATTTACTTCAAAGCAGTATAAACCACAAAGTATAAACAAAATGTTATAACCACTACCGTTAAAATTTTGAAAAATGAACAAACAAGCAAAGAAATAACCACTATAGAACATTCAACCGCACAACAAAATGCCCCAGGGGCTGTTTGGGGCCCTATTTTAGGCATGATTTAAGCAACCAAACAAAATTTTGAAACGTAAATCCCAAACAAATATCAAACAATTTATTAGAATTTAGTAATATTTAGCAATGTTCATGTCAAATCATTTTCAGATTTTAATCCTCTCAAGTTTTACTAAATCTAAATTTACAAGATTTAGGAACTGTTTGTTATCCTATTTTAGACAAAATTTAGTCAAGATTTAGCTTAGGTCCTGCAAAACATAATTTAAGGGACTTTAAATGCTTAGATAAATTTCATTTTAACCTCATTATTGAATAAATCCATAATTTTGTAAAACTAATCGTTCACTGAACTTAATAGATTTAAGAATTTCTTTCTCTCACAAACTTCAAATTTTGAAATAAATAGCCAAACAATTTATTAGAATTGAGAAAGATTTAACAGCTGCAATGCCAAACAAGCTTTCAGAGTATAATACTCTAACGATTATATAAATATGAATTCACAGAATTTAATTCTACGTTTATCCAAACAGCCCCTAGGTCTTTTCAGCAATTGAATCATCCAAGCTACTAACCTGATAGAATCTTCTTACTAATTGTTTATCCATCAAAAAGGCTTATAAGCAAGCCTTCTTCTTTTTCATGAGAAACAATCCTCCGTTGAAACATTGCCAGCACAGGCTGAAAGATAAATTTGATTAAGGTCCGGCATCTCCTCTTCATATGGTAAAATAAACTTCTCCACGAACTTCTTATCACTAATCATCATGCAATAAAACAGTCCACATTTTCTCTTAGGAAGTCCTTTCAACTTGAGAAGTTGAAGAACCTGATATCTCGGAATCAGCCTCTTCTCAAAGCTGTAGCAGAGAAGCTTTGGGTGAGAAATTACATAGGAGAGCTCGCAATCTGATCTTTTCATGAAGAAATCCGCTTTGCTTTTGATATTTTCCACTGACAAAAACAACAGCTGTGGAGCCTTCAGAATCGCCGAGGAAATTTCAGCTTCAGACAACCCAAAGCTCATCATCACCTTAATCTTGGTATCTATGGAAGCTCTGCTCATGCGGCAGGTAGAATGCAGAGCAAAGCGGAACATTTTAGACTCGGGAGAAAACCCCAATTCTATAGCTCGCTGTACAACGCTCTTGATAGAATCAAGTCTTCTTGTGATCAATCTATGGTTGCATTTCATGAGATAGGCAATTTGATCTTTGGAAAGTCCACATGCTCTCAAATAGGAGACATTTGGCATAATCCTATTATCAAGGTTGGAGCACAGGAGGTGAGTATTCTTAATGATGGCTTGCAAGAGATCCGCTTTCGAACTAAAGAGATCCCCCAAGAACTCGATCTTCAACTGAACGTTCTTACGGTGAAGGAAAAAGGGATTTGCTGAAATCAGCTTGGCGATTTCGGGTTGTGAAAAGCCTACCTGCTGTAAAACTCGCACTTTTGGCTTCAAAGTTTTCTCCACCTGAGTGCAGAGTAAAATGGGCTTCCGATAAACCGCGTTTCTGATGCCAGCTTCGTCAAGACCTATATTTTTGAGGAAATTAAGTACGGCGTCAGGTTTAGAGGGGCTTTGAATGTGGCAGATTTGCTTGGATGCTTCCATGGCCTTCTCCGGCGAAAGACCGATTGAGGTTATAAGGTACCCTGCGATGAATGAAAGCTTGGGAGAAGGTTTCCTGACTGCGGAAGTGGAGAAGAAGAGAGATGAGAAGATGAAAATCGAACTGCGATGACTGAGGCGGGCGAGCAAGGAAAGATTTCGATCAGAGGAAATCATGCTTGTAGGTGAGATTGAGCGGCACCACGCTCTCTCCCGCTCTCTTTCAAGCCTCCGCTCGGGAGAACTTGCTAGGGTTTAATTACAAAAGTTCTGAAAATTACTTTGTTCGTCGTATTAATTAAAAACAATATATTTACATATTTTTGGAAAATAACAAAAAAAAAAACATAATAAATAATCTAGTAAAGAAATAGAAAAAAAAAATGTTGCATATATTTACATATTTAACCCTAAATAACATCAAAGTATGTGCATAAATTAATATGAAGATCTTATTTATTTTAAATAAGTCAATATTAGTGATATTTGTATGTGATTTATAAATTTGAGTGTTTTATAAATAAATATAAGGATTTAGATATTTCATATGTAAATTATAAAAGAATTTCGTGGTATTATTAATTATTAATATGATAATTAACAACTAAAAAAATAACATGTGAATCACCATGTTAAAATTCTTATAATAATTAAACAACAATTATTGTGTTATATTAAGTTATTATTCAGTATATTATTTTTTTTCTTTGCTGATAAAGTTTTGAACTCTTCCATGTAAAAATGATGGGATATTAATATCTTTTTTCAATAATTCAAATTAAAAATGATGAAACTTTTTGGAACTATTACTTTCGTCCGATCTTCAAAACTTCAATATGTTACAAGTAGTGTACTAGCGATACTGAGATTTTTTTTTTGGGTGAACCTGGGGCTTGAAGCCCATATATTAAGAAACTAAAAGGAAATTACAAGTAACCTGTAAATAAAAAAACTAACTACCAAAAGAAGCAAAATTACACAAAGACTGTGGCTAAGACAAAAAAAGACAATTGGCAAAGGAAAGACTCAGAAAGAGCACAGTCTCATTTATCAAAAGAATCAGAATAAAGCGACAGTAGACCAGGCGGTTGCACCAGTTGCCTTAGACAAAAACCCACAACAGTTGAAACGGCCATCGCAGCACATCCAGCCTTGCCTACGATGAATCCCAAAAACGAGCCAGGTTGCCGCGCAGGCCCTCCATAGCTCGGAGAGACTGGCTTTGCTCATCATCGTCTGTATGCTAATCATCCACCCATATTGCCAGATGAAGTCTTTGTAGTATACCCGGGAATGCATAAATATCAAGTTCACGGTCGAACTGGATTGAGAGACATCAACAAAAACTCGCATGCCCAGTAAGCACCAGCCTAGGTCAGAAGAAAAACATAAAAACCAAATCTTTGCAAGGCACCTGGAAAGAAAACAAAGGCCCAGCAGCCAAACAACAAAAAACATCCAGAATCTGGAGATAAAAAACAGCCTCCAGCCAGCTAATGCAACCAGACAGCAATCTAGTTGCCCAAAAAATCCCGAATATGTGTTGTTTTGTATTTCCATTTAACTGTTTTCAGCCTAATAGCCTCCAAAATAATGCCAATAACTTTTGCCACATTGTTTCTAGAGTCAGAGAAACGACGATTATTCTTTCCCTCCATATATTATAAGTGATGCATCTAATAACTAAAGAGAAGAAATCCTTTTCAGTTCTATTGGAAGTCTCAGAGTTCTCAATATAATCTAAAGCTTGAATCAATGTAGGTCTAAGTAAAAAACTAGCAAACTTAGGCATAATAGTCTTGAGGATATAGAATGAGAAATCACAATCAAAAAATAAATGAGAATGATTCTCAGAATGCCCCGAGCAGAGAGAGCAATGAATAGGTGCCATGATCCCTCTTTGGCGCAGGTTATCCGCAGTTTTAAGTTTGCAAATACATGTCATCCAGGTGAAACAAGCATATTTCAAGGCGTAATTCTTATGCCAAATAGTTTTATACCAGTCAACCTTTGGTAAATGGGAATAATAAAGTTCAGTGAAATCTTTAAAAAACCATTTAGCATTGCCATTCCATAAAACATCTTTGTTTTCTTGAATAGCCACAGTGTTGATAATGCTTTGAATAGTAGGCTGTATGTTTGAAGGGAAATGCCAAGCATCATTCCAGAAAAAATCTTTAACGAGAGCATCATCCATACCCGGCAGATGGAAAGTTTCCCCCACAGATTTTCCATTAAGCCACGGGTCCCAGAGGAAAGAAATGTTACTATGATTGGAAACAGGGAAAAGTAACAGCCTTTTTATTTCTGAGAAGGTCTCAATAATGCGGTGCCAGATTTTTGAAGCAGTAGGAGTTGGGTGTTTCAGGGGGGAGATATGTTTGGCTTTGAACCAACGGCTAAGAAGATTTGGATTGTTGTAAAACCTGCCGAGAATGGAACAAAAAACTCCAAAATAAAGAGCGTCAATGGAGGGAATGCCAAGGCCCCCAGCAGCTTTTGGAGTAATAACTTTAGACCAAGGAATGAGATGCAGCTTCCTCTCCACCAAATTGTTATGAAATAAGAACTTAGAGCAAAGTTTGTTGATGGTATCACAGCAACTTTTAGGAATGATGGATCCTCTAATCCAATAAGCAATGGAGTTAATGATGGTAAATTTGAGAAATTGAACCCTACCTGCAAAAGAAAGAAACTTGTTTTTCCAACCAGCAAGTAGAGCGTATATTTTGCTTAGTAGTGGTTGGAAGTGAGTAACTTTAAGTCTTTTCGGAGAAATGGGAATTCCAAGATAAGTGAGGTAAAGATTGATGTTGTGAATGCCAAGTTCCTCACAAATGATTTGATTGCAAGGGTCATTATGAGAAAAAATGATAGCACTCTTGCTAGAATTGATGAGCAGACCCGAGCAAGAGGCAAATTTTTCCAAACAGGTTTTGAGATTTTTGGCATTTTCTGTACTAGATTCCCCCATCACCAATAAGTCATCAGCATACATCAAGTGATTGATGTAGAAGTTTTTGTAGCAGATACCCTTGAAGTTGTGAGCAGAAGCATGATCAGTAATGATATTGGAAAGACCATCCATGGCAATACAAAATAGTAGAGGAGACAAAGGACAACCTTGTCTGAGACCCGAGCTAGAGTTGAAAAAGCCTTCGAGAGATCCATTTAAACAAATGGAAAAATGAACATCGGTAATGCAACCTTTAATCCAAGTGACAAAACTTTCAGGAAAACCTTTTTGTAATAGTCTTTCAATGATAAAATGTCTAGAAATAGTGTCAAAAGCCTTTCTGACATCCAATTTAGCACAAAACATTCTGTTGTTGCCTTTAAAATCTCTAAGTAATTCGGCAACTAAGAGGATGTTGTCGGTGGAGCATCTATTAGCTATGAAACCAGATTGACTTTCATGGATAATGTATGGAAGCACTTCTTTGAGTCTGTTGGCTAAGACCTTAGCAACAATTTTATATAGAACATTGCAAAGAGAAGGTCTATAGTCACTTATGTTGGAAGCATGGGAGCTCTTAGGAATTAAGGTAATAGCCGTTGCCTTAACCCCTTTCGGGAGAGAGCCCGAAGAAAAGAAACTGCCAACAGCATTGTAGACTTGCAAACCAATAATATGCCATGTCTTCCTATAGAAAGCATAAGAGAACCCATCAGGTCCAGGAGCTGTGTTTTCATTACCATCAAAAACCGCCTTCCTAACTTCATCCAGAGTTAAAGGAGAAATCAGGTTATTGCTCATATGTGGAGGAAGAAGCTTGCTTTGAGGGATATCCAGAGGGAGTTGAAGAGGTTGAAGAGGGGTATTAAATAATCCCTCAAAGTGTTTAATGACAGCAGAGGAGATGTCATTAAAATTAGTGAAATGACCATCAGAAGTGTGGATCTCCTTAATGTTGTTCTTATTGTTTCTGCTTCTAATATGGGCAAATAAAAATCCAAGGTCATCTTCCCCTTTAGTGAGCCACGACACTTTAGCTCTTTGAGCTAACCAAGAAGTCCAATGATTTTGAAAGGTTGCAAGCTTCTCATTAATATTCTTCAAATTCTGATTTAGAACCAAATCAAGAGGTTGGGTTTGTAGTTGCTCCAAACATTGTTTTTGCTTGCTTTTAATTTCCAATAAAGCATTAGAAAGATAAGAAGAGGATGCCCAATTTCTATTTTTTAAAGACCTCTTAAGAGTTTGTAAGCTGTGGGCAAAAGAAGCCATGGGGCTTCTAGCAGTTCTGGATGAGAAAGCAGAAAAAACATCATCCCAATATCCCTCCAAATTTATCCAATAATTTTTGAACATAAATCTGACCGATAAAGCTTTTTCATGAGACGAATTGAAAATAATAGGGGAGTGATCAGAACCTAGATGAGATTCCACGCTATAATAAGCATTAGGAAAAACATCCAATAATGCATTGTTCACCAGAACTCTGTCCAACTTGATGTGGATGGGGTTATCCACTCTTTGATTGTACCAAGTATAGTGTAGACCCGTGGAAGAAAGATCTTGCACCCCGCAATTAAAAATGAAACTATTAAGTTCACCCAACCTACTATAAGAAGAAGCATTGCCACCAGCTTTATCAGTTTCATATCTGTATTTTCTTCTTGTCCTTCCTAGACTTAGCTTTCTCCTCACCTTTTTCCTTTTCTTTGCTTGAATGATCTTGAAGTGTAGGGCAATCGGCTTTCACATGTCCAGGTTTTCTGCATTCAAAACAAACAACATCAGAAGATCCTTTAATATGTTTATGATCCTTACCTTTTCTCCAATTTTGATGATGCTTTTGTTTCTTCCTTAGAAAGCTTTTGAATTGCCTTGTGATGAAGGCAATTTCATCGCTTTCAGACCGGAAGATTCAGAAACCGATTTGTGCGCCTTCAGTGCGATTGTTTTCTCCTTTTTCTTCTCACCTGTATCAAGATTTCTTTGATTCACCCCTTGCTCGTAAGCAATGAGTGAGCCAAGTAAGTTATCAATGGAATAGGTATTCAAATCCTTAGATTCAATGATTGCAGTGATTTTAGCATCATAAGATGAAGGCAAGCATCTCAAAATCTTGTTAACTTTTTCATAGTTTGAAAGTTCTTTTCCTAGTGTATATAATGAAGTAACTATCTGAGTAAACCTAGTGTACATGTCAGAAATCGATTCATGAGGTTTCATACAAAAAAGTTCGTAGTCATGCAAGAGAATGTTCAAACGGGATTGTTTAACTTCATTAGTACCTTCATAGGTGATGCATAATTTATCCCAAATCTCTTTACCAATTTTGCAAGTTGAAACACGCATGTAATCC